GATTTAGCAGTGAAAGATATCAAGTGTGAAGTACTTTACTTGGCTTCTTTCATCTCATTTATAGACCTGTATTTTAAACTATTTCTGAAAAATATCTCACTTTGCTTTAAAGTAGACCCATAAAATATCTAAGAGAAATAACAGTAGATAGGAAATTAATTGGAAATAAATTGGGGAAAACGACAAAGGAACTTTTGAGTATTTGCAAAAAGTTGAATTTATTTATACATATAGCAGATATGATCACATTATTTTTGGTATCACACAAAAACAAAAGCTTTTGTAGCGGTTGTTTGACACAATCATATTTATAAGTTAGTTTTTCCGGCAATAGATGCGTTATTTTAATTTAGTACCATATGATTTTTACGTAATTTAGAATTAAACACACTATCCAATGCAAATTAGGATGCGAATACCCAATTACTAAGTGTATATAACAAATTATATTTATACGACCTTAACGTAAAAGATTACTAACGTTATAAAAAAATAATCAGAGGAGTAAGCAAGTGAGGGAAGAGTGTCGAAATAGAAAAATGAGATGCGAAGTGGATAGCGATATGGATAAGGACGAAGAGTCATGAAGTGGGACCTCTAAATTACAAGTATCCTAAAATGCTTCCGTGGAAAAGTATCACAGGAGCAGCGAATAATATATATTTGAAATTTCTCATTAAACAATTGACAGTGAACTTCTATAAATCAATATTCTATGAATTAACAATTATTATTGATGATCTTGTTCATGATCTAATTATGTTAACAGACTAGGTTACAAAGTCACATGAAGCTAAACACGACTTGAGGAAAACAACAGCGGAACCATTGATCACCTGCACGGTGTTATTTTACTTGATGTGTTTGGGAGTAAAAACGATCTTTTTGGACCAAAACTATTGTCATCGAATTTTTTTGGATCTGATCTTTTAACATTGGCCAATTTAAATCTAAACCTCAAATTAATTCAAATTATTTATAAAAAGTTAATAAGTTCACCTCATAATTCTAAATAAAAATCTAGAATCAAAATTAAAAATTAAATTTTAATTTGATAAATATAAAAATTATAAATCCGAAATTTAAATTGAAATTAAAATTTTCTAAAAAATTACATTTTAAATGAAAGAAATTAATATTTTTAAACCATAATATTAATTATAATCATGATAYAATATWT